AGAGCTTCTTCTTCTTCTCCTTCTGCTGAGATATGAGAGAGAGAGAGAGAGAGAGAGAGAGAGAGAGAGAGAGAGAGAGAGAGAGAGAGAGAGAGAGAGAGTTGACATTGAGACTTGGTGACATTCGGGCGTTGCCCAGTTCAGTGACATTGCGACTTGACACTGTGTGAGCAGCGACATTGGGGATACATTGGAGACTGGGTCCATCGGGCTATGGTGGCTGATCCTCCCTATCTCCCTCTTCCCCCTTCGTCTCCTTTCCTTTTTTCTGAGTGATGATGTATGCTGTCACGTCCTGTCATTGACCATGCTGAGTCAGATCTTGGTATTACAGTCTTCCGCTGTGCTATTTTTGTATTGTCTCTGAGAGGTCGGTTCTCGGTTCCGAACGATGCCGATTAGGAATGCGACACTCTGACAGCATTGACCACTCCGGTTATGGAGGATTGAATGGCAGTCTTTCCAGACATAAAACATTTTTTTGTTTTTTAATATTAACATTTTAAATTTTAAATTTCCCAATACCTTATCAATCTCATCTGAAATTTTAATTTTATTCTATTTGTTTTTCCACAGCATATGTCCCAAAAACGGTTATCAGATTCAGGCGATCCAGTGCAACGGGGCAATCCCATCACTTTGTCCTTATCCGCACCAAAGATTAAAGGCCGCCGATCCTTGTCCGCATCAGCAACAGCCATGGAAAATGTCATCATGCCAGAACGGCTGATTAATGACATGGGAGGAAGCCACTCTGGGAGCTCATCACTGCCAATCCCCTCCCCGATACCGTCGCCTGCCGTCTCAACACCCGGACACTCAGGTGAGAAGCTGTGACACAACCACCCCCTCCCCCTCTCCCCTCTTTTCCCCAGCGAGGACCGAAAAAGAGCTATGTCTGTTTTCCTTATTTTTCAAGAATGTTGCCTTTATATATTAAAAAAATATACTGGAAACTGGGTCCACTGTCCCTTTACATAAATGAACTCGCACACTCCTCTCTCCGTCATGGCCAAGGGAACCTGAGACAAGGGATGTGAAACGAGGTGAATCACCTTTCGAAGAAGCTATAGCAGATACGAATCTGTCTCTCTCCATCTCTCTCTCTCTCTCTCTCTCTCTCTCTCTCTCTCTCTCTCTCTCTCTCTCTCTCTCTCTCTCTCTCTCTCTCTCTCTCTCT